CGGCGGGGCCCGAGGCGCTGCGCTGCTTCTCCTACAACCAGGACTGCACGTAAGCGGGGGCCGCTCGCGTTTGCAGCCGCGATGGGCGCTGCCGGGCCGGGGGCGACTTGCCCTTGCTTTGGGAGGACGGGCCGGTGCTTGGCCTGCGCGCTGCCGCGGCTCGGGGAACACCCGTGGGTTGACCTGGTGCAGTCCCGGTTCGCGACTCACCCGTGCGCGGTCTCTCCTGCACAGCTCCCTGGCGATCGGCACCGACACCGGCTACCGGCTTTTCTCCCTGAACTCCGTGGAGCAGCTGGACCAGGTCCACGAGAGCAGTGAGTCTTGTTTCTTAGCAGCGGCAGGGACACCGGGGTTGCGTTACCGCTCGGCTAGGCTGAGCCTCAAACACCGAGGAGGTGTGAACGCAACGTTTACATCGGTTTTGGTGCAATTTGGACGTGAGATTCGAATCCCACCGAAATGACACCAGTGCGTGTTGCACAGCTAGCTGGCTTCCCTTCGAGCGCCCGTTTGCAACGACCTTTATCTCTGCTGCAACGCTGGACTGCCTGGCGTGTGCTTTTATTAGCCGAGCGTGCTGAAGAGCGCTCGCACCTCGACCTAGGCGCGCACGGTTCGTGTTGGGATGCATAGTTTCATAGTTGGTCGGGTCGGAAGCAGATCATCAAGTCCGACCCCTGCCATGGCAGGGAAGAGTACTGGGGTCAAACGACCCCGGCAAGGTGTTCATCTAACCTCCTCTTAAAGACCCCCAGGGTAGGAGCCAGCACCACTTCTCCTGGAAGTTGGTTCCAGGTCCTAGCCGCCCTAACAGTGATGTAGCGCCGCCTCATGTCTAGCCTGAATCTACCCTCTGCCAGCTTGTGACCGGTATTTCTTGTCACTCCTGGGAGTGCTCGGGGGAACAGGGACTCCCCCAATGCCTGCTGCTCCCCCCTGACCAGTTCGTAACAGGCCACTAGATCCCCCCTCAGCCTTCTCTTGTGGAGGATGAACAGATTCAGGTCCCTCAGCCTTTCCTCGTAGGGCCTGTCCTGCTGCCCCCGGTTCATGCAAGTGACCCTTCCCTGGACCCTCTCCATGTTGTCCACATCCCTCCTGAAGTGCGGTCCCCAGAACTGGATGCAGTACTCCAACTGTGGCCTGAACAGTGTCACATAGAGGGGGAGGATCACCTCCTTGTACCTGCTTGAGATGCATCTGTGGATGCATGACAAGGTATGGTTGGCCTTCCTGACTGCATCCCCACACTGTTGGCCCATGGTCATCTTGGAGTCTATAATGACCCCGAGATCCTTGTTGAACCCCATCCTGTTCTCATCCGCTCACCCCTGTGACCTGTTGAGGTCCGATTGCAGCCTGTCCCTCCCTTCAGCGTGCCCACTTCCCCCCACATCTTAGTGTCGTCTGTGAATTTGAACAGGGTGCTTTTTACCCCCTCGTCCAAGTCGCTGATGAAGATGTTGAACAGCGCGGGCCCGAGAACCGAGCCATGGGGGACCCCACTGCAGTTTAGTCCAGGGCGTCCTGACCTGCCTCACGGTTTGGATCCATAGCTAAGTTTTAAAAAGCCCTAGAAGCTTTTAGAAGCAAACTAAGAGCCTATGTGCAATGATGCTGTGCGGCCAGCCAGTCTGGTGGGCGCGGGACATGTGCTAACCCCAACGGGTTACGGTGGAGTTGGGTCTCGCAGTACAGCAAACGCCGTGCAGGCCAGAACCACGGACTCCCCCAGCTCCAGGGGCACGGACTGGTTTCGGCTATCCAGAGCGTTTCCCTTGCATCTGGTGTGTTGGAACTGGTTTGTGACAGCGAGAGGGATGCATAGCACGTGCTGGCCGGATGCTTCCTGGCCTAGACCTTATCTGCAGTGGTCAGAAGGGTTGACTGGAGCCCTCCAGCTACAGAGGGCAAAGCCAAGCATTTTGGTCCAAGGAAGGGGGAGAAGCCTTTATCTAGTGAACGTGTAGGACTTCCGTTTCCTTGGGGAAACCGGGGTCCTTGGCAGCCAGAGAGTCTGTACTCAGAGGTCACGGCTGACCTGGCACAGCCTGTTCCTTACCCTGGGAAGTCCCAGTCGCTGTGTTCCTGCTTGTCCCCGCTCTGTCCCTGCCCTAAGCCAGCTGTAGCACCCTGACCATCAAGGACACGCATCCTCCGATTAGGTCGTGCACCCCCAAGGTAGGTCTCCTTCCCATTATCCTGTTCCTCCTGATTCACCGCAGCTGGAGGGACAACTGCCAGGCTAGACTCGTGACAGGCGCTGCAGGATGGGGCTGATTTACGTATCCTGCCTTCAGAAGAGAAACCACTAACCCCTTCCTGCTTTGGCCTAGCTGACATTATCCATCGTGCAAACAGACTCCCGTGACTCAGCACCGGACCAAGGCACAAGGGACTTCTCTCTTAAAGGGAAACCCCAAGACCAAGCTGCCACGCTGACAGCATCCCTTTCTCTCTCTCTCTCTTGGTGCCCAGATGAAACCCCAGATGTTTACATCGTGGAGCGCCTCTTCTCCAGCAGCCTGGTGGTGGTGGTTAGTCAAGCCAAGCCGCAGCAAATGAATGTCTATCACTTCAAGAAAGGGACGGAGATCTGCAATTATAGCTATTCCAGCAGCATCCTGTCCATCCGGCTGAACCGGCAGGTAAAGGGTGGGGCCTTGTTCACTCAGACCTTAATAGGCAGCAAGCCTGGTTCTCCCTTCCCGGCTGGTTTTACACCATTCTCACTCCATGGACTTCTGTGGAATGACTCCTCATCCGCATCCGTGCAGGATCAGAGTCGCAAGGTGTAACTCGGGCCGAGCGGTGCTGGGAAGTGCTTTGAACAGCATCCCTTAGCAGCAATCTGCTCGTTTAGGATTTCCAGTCTTTCTCCCGTGTCCCTCCACGTAATCTTCCTTCAGATATAGGTCGTAGGGAATAGGGAGTATATTGCACTACAGAAATAGCCTGCCCAACTGTCTAATTAACCGCTCCGAGGTTAGCAGGAGTGAGACCGGCAGTCAGGCTCTCCAGTAGACAAGCTCTGCCTTGAGCTTCCAGCAAAGCTTTGTTTGATTGTAAGCTCCCTGGACCATGGGATGTACTGCCATGAAATTTGTCCTAAACTGAACTTTTCCTTGAAACAAACCTTATAGTGATAACTTAAAGCAATGGCAGTTCACGACTTCTCTGGATTGCAGATTGGTATGTTGGAAATTTCAGTTCAGCAGTTCTGGAAGACCTGTGCTCACGGTGGTGGCACGAACGCCCCTGGGCACTGTGCCACTCCATGGAGGATGCCACAGCTGGTGTGGTGGGGTCACTAGCTTGGGGCTCAAGAAGCCCTTTGCGATTCCTGTGGGAGGCAAATAGTCTCTCTGCCTGGGTCCCCTATCTATGCAGAGGTGATCAGAGCACTTCAGAGGAAAAGTACATTACAGACTGCAAAGCGCTGGCAGGGAGCCAGATAAAAACCAGGTGATAGATTATGTTAGGCGTCAGGCAGCAGCCTGAGGAGGCAGCTGCATTGCTCCATCCTGTTAAGTACGCACAACACTTGGAAAACACACATGGTAAGACCTGGGCCTTTAATGCTATTCTGTATTCAAAGTCATGCAAAAATTATAATAGTCCAGCCCGCAGGGGAGCAGGTGGCGTCCAATCGGCCTGGAATAGGAAAAGAAGGCACCTGAAAGCACCAAAGGGCACTTGACATATGGGGCAAGAGTGCTCTTACTAGCACATACCTTCTCACACCTGCCACTGTACACACAAATTTATTGCACATCAGCTCTCCCCGAAGCGTGACACCGACTTCAGCCAGCAGCATGCATGCAGGGCTCCCAATGACAAAACTTGGTTTACCCTGGTATCTGAGCCAGTATGGAAGAATTAGCAGAAAGAGAAGAGATCTGCTCTTTGATTTAATTTGCCAGTGGAAAATCATTGTTATGCAAACTTGCAAATCCCCTTTGCCTGCTACTCAGTCATGGAAACTCTGTACCCAGCCGCATTATTACTTGCATATGGTGGAAACCTAGATGTTTCTGTTCAGCTGGGGATGGGAGGGAGGGTTGCGCTTTGACTCACGAGAAGCAGCACTGATATTTTAATGTGACCTCCTTGTGTTTTCCTTGGGTTTGCTGAGCTCAAGTCCTACTGCTGAAGCCTTTTGATCTATTCTATGACTGCTTTTCTTTCGCATACCTACACACTGAGGAATAGGGAGGTAGGTGAAGATGACTAATTTGCTGTCCCTAATTCAGATCATATAACAAATTCTATGGAGCAGTAAGCAAGAGAAATGATCCAGACCATTTAACGTGTGATAGCAGATCTGGAGTGCTGGCCCCATCTTGTTAAACAAGAAATAAAGATGTCTTTGCTAGGTCCCAGCCATTTCAGAAGCTCGATCCTTCTCGGATTAAGTTTGCATTGCTCTGCGCTGGTGCAGTCTCTCCCGCCGGTGTAAAATGAGGGTACAACCAAGGGTACACACTGTGGTTCTCGTATGATCAGGTTTATTCTGTAAAGCACTGCACAGGGTGGGGGGAGAAGGGAAATGGAGAGCTAGGCTTTGAAACTCCCTGCAGACTTGTTCAGTCAGCCATGTCAATCTTCTCTCCTTTCAGCTGTCTGTTCCCAACACTCATCTACCATCTCCCTCCTGCCTGTTCCCTCCCCGCATCTTTCTTCTCTTGGGACAAGGAATTTCTCCTCTGCAGCATGCCTCCCATGACTCTCCATCTCACATCTGAATGCATATTAGCGTCCTGGCCTTCCAGGTTAATGCCATTGCGGTGCTGAATTCTGCAAAGCCTTGTGAGACCTTTGAAGGAAATCTGCTGAGTAAATATTAGTTTGACAGTCTTGGTTCTGCAGCTGACAGCTGCGACTCCAGAAAGCACCACTGAAATTATGCTACGTTTCAGCCTCCTCGGAGGTCCGTGGTGGCTCTCTGAAACAAAGCCTTGGATGCTGTGGTTAGCAGGAATAGAAATGCCCCTTATGCAAAGGGCTGGATTTCAAGTGGCAGTAGTCAAGCCTGCAGTCATGTGCTAAGGTGGAGGTTTTCAAGTGGCAGGTGGCTAAACTAAGTAGCTAGAATCCAGATTTACACTTTAAATAAGTGGTCTGATTTCTAGCAGGGCGGAAGCTTCCCAAGTGTGGATCCTGCATGCCTCGGCTTCAGGCACGTATGTTCTGGCCTCACCTTCCACTCCCAGGTTTTCAAAGGTGCCACTTCCACCACCTCAACGGGAACTGTGCATGCTGTCAATGAGGTCCAGAGCTTGTTCTCTTGTTAGCATCAGCACAAAGTACGCTGGCAGCAACGCAAGGAGAATACAGCTCTCGCTGCTGTGAGGTACCACGCGAGCGCCCGGGGAAGTGGTGCCTTAATGTTAACGTTGTAGGAACGCTCAGTGCAGTTTTGTGTGTTATTTTCCTGTTTCCTTCCCTTAGTTTAGCAGCCCTTGCCTCGGCAGTCGGCACTGCAGAGGTGAATGAAGGGGAGCACACAGTCCCTTTCACACCCACTGTCTCCACTGAGAAAAACATCCATGCTGCTACACGGATGTCTCCCATCCCTCACTTGAATGCAGTCTCTTTGCGCAGTCCCCCCGAGTCATCCATGCCTCCAGAGGAGGAAGCAAAAGATAGATTCATGCCACAGAGGCCAAGTGAGAAATAAAAGGGTGGGAGGCTTTTGTTTCACTAAGCTGGTCCCTTAGGCCCTGGAGTGGAGAGTACTGGAAGCCCCATCACTTAGGTGCTTTCATGCTATCCCAGGCAATGTTCTGGCAAGTGTCCTGTGGGGACTGGCTTGTTACTCAGGAAACCACAATGAGAAAATGTTAAAATGAAAAGCAGAGGTGCTAGTCGGAGCTGAAACTGTTGGGTATCAAGGCATTGCAGTTGTGGGCCAAATAAGCCTTAGCATTCACCTGCCTTGCATCTCTTCATGTAATCTGTTGCATTGGCTCTTTGCAGGAGAATGCAAGAGGGACGGAGATGTTTCATCTAATTTCCAAAGTAAGGCCAATGTGGCAGCCCTGTGTAGGGCAAAGTGCAGGGCTTCTCGGCCACAAAATAATCGGAAGCAAGAGCATCACGTTGCTTTTCCACATGGGAGTTTACCAGATGCCCGGTGGCTTCCTGATTGCCAGGGCTTCAGTGAGCAAACTCTGCTGAGAACGACGAATGCAGCTGGTGCCTGCTGATACGTCCATGATGTATGTATGCGTGTGTGACAGCCAGGTTAACTAGCTGTGGTTCTGTCTGCTGGGTTTTTGCAGAGGCTGATCGTTTGCCTGGAGGAGTCTATTTATATTCATAACATTAAGGACATGAAGCTTTTGAAGACTATCCTAGATACACCTCCAAATGCAACAGGTAAGCCAATGAGCCTGGATCAAAGAGAGAAAAAACAACTGGCCAGGCATTCTGCAGACAGCAGCAGAGATCAGAGCCTTACCGCGAGCAGCCGAGACAACCCACTGTTTATGCTAGCAGCGAGACTCCAGAAGTGCAAGGAAGGTAGGAAATGTCACCAGTGGCCTGACCTTGGCCCAGTATCTGCTGGGATTACACAGTTGAGTGGCTATATTATGACTGCATCAAGTTGCAAGGAAACTGTTTAATTGAAGGGCCAAGCCAGCATGTAAAAATGCTGTTCCACTGACTCCTCCTCCCATTCAAGAGTTGAAGCTACAGGTCTGCCCACGTTGATCCATGCCGCGTGACTAAGACGGGCCGGCTTCTGTAGCCAGTGGTGTGCAAGGGAGTGACGTGGCCACCCTTGACTCCCCAGGTGCCCATAACAGCCGGGTGGGCTCAGGGCAGGCAGCAGCATGGTGCTTCGCTCCTGCTTTCTGGATGCTGTAACTGCATGCAGCCCCCTCCCTGGGTTTTCACAATACAAGGGAGCGAGTCTGCCTTGAAATTCCCAAACCTGTTGGCTCTGACTGACCTCGACACCGTAGTTATGGGAAGAGGAGGGACTTCCCCTCCCTGAGCATAAGGGTGTGAGCTGAGCCCTGCAGCCCCCAGGGTGCATGGTGTCCGGGTGCTTGGACCCCAGGATTCAGACTGCCCCGACCCCTGACAGGCAGTGCTGTATCCTGAGCACCCACTTCCCATTTCCCCCATAGCTGCATTCATCCTTACTACCCCTGCCCCCACCTCATGCCATCCTAATTCGGGCCATGTGTAATGGAGAGCTCGCACCCTACCCCAGAGCTTGCCTTCACTCTTAGCTCAAGCAGCACAGTTTGGGGGCAGAACCACAGCAGCTTAACCACATGCACTGGCTACCTCCTAGGTAGGCAGATTAGCATTTCCCCATTCAGGACTTCCTGCCCTTCTTTCTCAGCGTCTTGCTTCAGAGATGTCCTCAGCCTGTGCAAATGAGACCCACCTTCTTGATTGCAGGCAGGGTAAGTCAGCAAGACAGCTCTGCACCTCCACAGCGTCTTGGCAGCTTGACACCCAATACCAGACCTGTGCTCAGACAGTGCCCTGGATTCTCTCTAGACCAGCGCAGGTCCTAAGAGAGGCTCTCAGCTGATTAGCGAGGCAGATGCTCCCTTGTCGGGGGCCTGCCAGGGGCAGCCTGCTGATTAGTATGCTGTGCAGGGGACAGGGGACAGTCAGCATGGCCAGGGAAAGCACCAGTTCAGTGATTTTCAACTTGAGTGCTGTGAAACACGGGCACTGCAAGATCCTTTTAAGGGTGCTGCAGAGTGCCATGCAGTGTTTGCACTGTTAGGTGTGCAAACGCCTACACGATTCACAAGAGAAACCCAGAGACTTCCAGTAGAAATCCGGAGTGTCAAAGCCGTTCTGTCCCGTTGTGGTCTCTTTGCAAGAGAAGAGTTGCTCTGTTATTTTTCTGCAGTCAAAAAATGAGCGAAAGCCAAGAGCTGGCACTTTGAGGAGGGAGTGTCTTGAGTTTAAAAAGGGTGAGAACCACTGTGCTAGTTCAGCACGTGTCTAAGCAGCAGCTGTTGGAGGAGGTCCTGTGGAGATTGGGCCATGGTATATCTTGGGGACCGACCTCAAGGGAGGGCCTGGGGCTTTAAAAGCTCTCATTCCTTGGGTGACTCCAGCTCTCCTGCTAGACCACGAGCTGTTGCTGCAACAGGAGGGCAGTGCTGGGCATTTGGGCCAGGATCCACGACACACGGCAGCAGGTTGCAGCATCCCCCGGGGCACCTTTTGCTGTAGTCACAGACACGGTTCCCCACCTGGAACAAATGTTGGGCTCCTCAGCTTCCAAGAGACGTAGCTCCGGGCATCCATATTGCCCTACTTCAACCCCTGGACAGATGGCCCTGTGCTGCGGATTAAACACTAATGCTTCAAATGTCACTGAATGATCCCCATACAGAGGATGCAAGCTGCCAGGCTTGAGGCTGCTCTTAAGGATCATAATATGATGTGATAACTTCGCTTCTAAAGCCACGGCCCGCGATGCTGATGGCAGTAAGCTGAGGTGCCCAGAGGGGTCGTGCAACCTAGTGCAAGCCAGGTAGAGCTGTTCCAGCAGGAGTGGGCAAGCACCCTTCATAACACCCCCCCTGCCATGAGCCGGGGTTGGCACAAACGCATTTCCTGCCCTGGTTGCACATGGTGCCTTTCCAGGAAGGCTGCATGGCCCTTTCGGCAAGGGTTTGACAGCAACTTCCTCAGCGTGGGGCAGTTGTGAAACACCCCAAGTGGGTGAGCTGATAAGTGTTGCTGGCAGGTCCCTGGCAGGAGATAGGTTGCATAGTGCTCCTCTGGGAGGGAGCTGCCCACGGAGATTTGCAAACCGCTCGGAGGGACAGAAGGAAGCCCAGCCCTGTGCTACAGCCACGGGAGATGAAAGAAAGACCCCTGTTAAGTGCTTCAAAGGCATACGGCAAGGCTGGTCTCAGGCAGGATGGAGGCTCCTCAATCGACAACACACAAGCCCAGGTTCACACTGGCTACAGGACGCATAACTGTGTCCTCAGGACAGTGCCTGCCGCTCTGCTATAGGATGGTGGTGGTGTGTTGAATTAGGTGGACGCATTGCTGTGCCTCTCCCTGGACCCTTCTGCCCAACAGGCTCTGTGGGCCAGAAGGGCCTTGTTGCTTTGTGTCTCGAAACTGAGCCGCTTGCTGCTGTTTCCCTCGTCTCCGTTTTGGGGGCAGTGGAACTTAGCTAATCTGGCATTGGGCCTTGCTGCTGCCTTAGTTTGCCCTCTCTGAGTGTCTAGGACCCACTCATAGGCTCTCCTCGTATGAGATGACACCACCGGATGATCTTCCAGATGATGTCCAGTCCAAGGCAAACCTAGTCTCCCCTGTCTCCGCAGCTCTGGCAGACGGTTGCTGGTCCAGGCAGCCCCCAGTCTGCCAGCAGTCCTTGGGGTGGCATGCAGCCAGCCACCTTTGCATCCAGCACCGGGAACTGGGCCCATGTCTGCATGGCCTGGGAGCCCTCCACCACGCAGCACTCTGAGATAAGCCTACCCCACACCCTTGGAGAATTGCTGATCCATGCATGTCCTCTGCAATCCCTTCCTTTGTGCATCTTTGAGGTCAGCTCAGGGCGTTCATATTCTTATTTTTTCCCGGCTTGGTTTCCTGTTTGAGTCTCCCAGACAGGCTCCTTGCAGGACACTGCTGACTCCAATTGCAGCTGGCTTAGACTTGCTTGCACCTTCTCTAGCCCCAGAGTTTCAAGGTAACGGCTTCACTGTCTGTTCTCTGTCTGTAAATAGGGAAGGCGGAGGGCAAGGCCTTCATCTGGAGAAGCCTCTTCCCTTTTCAGCTCTTCTCTGCAGTTCCCTCCCATCTCAGCCAGGTCAGGGTTTATCTGCTGCTCTGCGTTGTTTTTAAATGCAGTTCCCCAAGGCTGGCAGATCATAGCCTAGCACAGCACGATCAGCGGCACCGTGCAAACGCCCTAGTCTGAGGAGTGGTCTCTTAGGCGCCGGGATGCTGCTGCGGTTCCCCTTCCCCGCTGAGGGTCTTTCGTTCTTTCTACGCAAGGATCTAGAACAGCACTTCTCATCCGTGTTAGACTCACAGCTGCCCTCAGAAAATGCCAGCTCTTCGCTTTCCCCTGTTTTTCGACTGTCGAAAAATAACTGAGCAATTCTTGTGTTGCAAAGAACCCAGGCAAGGCAGGATAGTTTGGACACTGGAAACCTGGACATCCCTGGGTTTATCTTGTGAGCCATGTTTGCACACCTAAGTGCTGCTGTTGCACGGCACCCTGCAGCACCCTTACAAGGATCTTGTGGCACCCCAGGGTGGTCTAAAACAACAGCTTTGGCTGGGCACTTGCCAAGGCAGCATCCTGGCATGATGATGTGTGCCTAGGCAGTTTGTGTTTGGGGAGCAGAGCATGATGGACCATGTCACACACTGACACACGTTTGGGGAGCCAAGCACAAAGTCTATCAGGAGTGGTGATAGCCTTCGGCCCCACAGCTCGGCCGGACGTGACACCTTCCACACTGTGCTCTTCGTCCAGGCTGCCTGGGAAATCCCGGTGCTGACAGGGTCACGGTGCCTGCAAGTTGTAATAGCAGCGGTTGCAGGAAGGGCATCAGGTCGTCACTCATAAGCTGGGGAAGTACTGCCCTGTCTCATTGGGGTGCTGGCAGAACAAAAGCATTACAGACTGGGTAGCGCAGGAGCTGCAATAGTGAGGGCTGTGTAAGTAAGATAGATAACACTGAAAGCCTCCTTCCCAATTAACAAGCACCCAGATTCCCCTCCTTTTTAGCCAGATACCGCCAGAAGTTGGCACGTGAAATACTGATGGAGATAGGCTGGCTCGGCCTGTGGGTTGCTTTGTGCAAGCCCTGACGACAGTATCAAAGGAGCCCTGAAGAGAAAATACAATGTGTGATACTTAGAGGATGGTGGGAAGGACCGTCCAGGGCACTGGACCAGGACTCGAGAGCTTTGGGGTCCCTTCCCAGTTCTGCCACCACCTCTCTGCATAACCTGTGGCAAGTCACTTAATCTACCCTGTGCCTTCATTCCCCTCTGGAAAACGGGGATAATGCTCCTGTACCATATGGTGGCGTGGGAACATAAACGCCATCGTGGCTTGCAGCACACCCCAGGGCTAGTGTGCAGGCTGTGCAAGGGTCTAGGCAGGGGGAACTCAGACGCATTTAAAGGGACGAGCTTCTTTCCAAGGCAGAGCCGTATCCCCACGTGCCAGTAGGTGTCGGCAGAGGCCAGAAGTTTCCTGTGGGTTTTCCATGCAGCGAGTGGCCGGTTGCCCGTCCTTGGAAATGATGCCACTTCACACTTCCAGAGCGTCTCCAGCCGGTCAGACCCCTTCTCTTGTTCCTGTGCTTGCCCTGTACCCGTCCGTGTCCTCAGCTGTGTTTTCTTTGGCTTGCTAGGTTTATGTGCACTTTCTATCAACCATTCCAACTCCTACTTGGCGTACCCTGGCAGCACGACGACTGGGGAAATCGTGCTTTATGACGGAAATCATTTGGTAGGTGTGAACCGACGAGAGGGTTCCCGGGCTTGCACACACAGACACGGCCATGCACTGAAAACAATCTGTCCTGGCTAAACAAGCTTAGGCTCAGAAAAGCCCAGCAAATCCACACAGCTGCACTGCATGGGAATCTAGCCCCAGACTGGAGCTGCGGGGGGGGGTCTACACTTCTGCTCGCTCAGACCCCAGACACAGCTCAACTGGTCCTGAGAGCAATGCAACTGGATTTAGGGTCCGAATCCTGCTGAGCTCCTCTGGACTTCATATAAGGAAGGAAAGCAGCATT